TTTGCTGCTAAAAAGAAACCTCAGAAGATGGGTGAAGAATAGCTTCATCATTGTTTAAAGTAAAAGAAAAAAACAAGATCATACTTTTTTGATGTTTTAATAAATAAAAAAGTGAAAAAAATCAAAGAAATTATCTGGCATTTTTTTTTTTTTTGCCTGTATTGAAAACATACCGAACTGTGACACCACTGTATCGTATCGAACCGAACCATGATTTTTGTGAACCGTTACACCCCTAGTGATTAGACATATTAGAATTTCCATAGAAATTAGTTCATAAGTGTTTTTTAAATTAAACCCCAAATCAGATGCCACCTCCCTCCTTGTTCTTCCCACTCACTAACCTTGAAAGTCAGATTTCCTTCGGATATCATCCACTTTCTTCCTTGTGTCTGGGTGCAGAAGTCCAGGTGATGAACCATCTATCACATACACCACGCAGTGTATCTTGTCCTTAAATGCCAATTGACCTGTCGCCTGACCAATACCAGGTTGCCTTGGTGATAAAGGGTTGAACTAAACAAACAAAATGGTGTGAATGACATACAGACATACACTGACTTTGAGATCATGAGAAACTCAAGCAGCATGCTATGTAAGTTATTTCATCTGACATTTGTGTAATAACAGTACCTTACTTATGCTAACAACAGAATAGTGAATGAGATCAGTAATTATAAACATCTTAATTGTGTAAGCCATTACAGGGATCAGACCTGCATGTATACATACAGCACTTGTTTTTGTACAGCTCTTACCTGGTACTTGTCTGGTATGTAGCCTTTCAGGATGCCCACAATATCTTCAATGTTCAGCCCTCCATTCACTGTTGGCTCCAGTCCCATGGTGTCACACAGTAGGAATGCCAGAGGCTGTCCACCTCGGCCCGCCTTCACCTGGTAAGTGCGATACTGTAAGAAGACAGAGGATTTCATTCATCTTCTGACAGCTTATCCAGTTTAACAGGCATCTCAAACACATATAACTTGGGGGCCACAGGCTAGGAGGTATTCAGCTCAAGCGACCAAACATGGGGTGGGGGGGTAAAGTTCACAGAGCTGATTAGTTTTTTATTTTGTGTAGAAATTAATTGATTGATCTTTGGACCACATTTAATAAAAAAAAAAAAAAGATTAAATTTCCTGTTGCAGGCCAGTTAGAGCTGATACACTCAGACTGCTGTAGTTCAGGTTTTTGGGCAGAATGGAACCCAATGTCATTTCAAGTCAAGTCAAGTGTTCTTTATTGTCATCTCATCCAATTACAGAGTACAGGGTGAGATGAAACTGCATGTCTTCAGGACCACGGCACAACATACATGTAGTGCAAAATGAGAAGAGAGTGCAGTAAATGGACACGACAATGGCAGGACACAGTACAGGAGGTCAATGATATTGGACCAGTAGCAGCATTATCAGTAGCAGTAATATGGTACTGAGATGTGCACTGGAGGCAGGTAATAAATATAATAAATAAAAAATAGAATAGAATAGTATAGAAAACTTTATTGTCTGTTCCCAAAGGTAACAGGCTCAAATTCTTTTGACAGGCTCAGAGTCACATGTAAAACATACATACACGCAGACACATACAAACTGTTTAAAAGGTGAAAACTGAAAACCGTCGGTTCATTTTGTGCTGTTCAGGTTAGCTATTGCAGAGGGGATGAAGGATTCCTTGTAGATGTTTTTCTGGGCCAGAGATACCTTGTACCATCTACCTGATGGCAGTAACTGAAAACAATGATGTAGAGGGTGTGTGGAGTCTACAGTGATCAGGGTGGCTTTCCTGGTCACTGAATGGATGTACAGTTCTGACAGGAGGGATGCAGTGTGCCTATTATTTTCCTGGATTGATTTATTATCCGGGATAGTCGTGTTTTTTGTTTGATTGTGAGAAGGTTGTACCAGCTGGAGATATTGAAGGTGAGGACCGACTCAATCAGGGAGCAGTAGACCAAGGTCAGGATGTCCTTATTGACCTGGAAAGTCCTGAGTTTCCTCAGCAAGTGGAGATGTTGCTGTGTTTTTTTTATAAACAGCTTCCATGTGCTGAGAGAAGGACAAACAGGTGTCTATTCCTCTTCCCAGGTATTTAAAAGCTTGTTCCTGTTCCACCATCCGACCCTGGATGCTGAGTGGCTGAAACATAGGCGATGCTTAATCTCTGCCTCCACAGCACAACTCTTTGGTTTTTGAAATGTTTAGTTCAAGTGAGTGATCAGCAAAGGTTTGGGTCAAATTCTTTACTTCCTGCTGATACTGAGACAGAGCATGAGAGTCAGTTTTATGTGCCACCAAAGCCATGTCATCTGTGTATTTAAACAGTACCATCCTGTCTCTGCTGCATGAGATACTGTTTGTGTACACAGAGAAGAGGAAGGGAGATAAAGCACAACCTTGGGGGAGTCTGGTATTTAAAACCAACCTACTTGAATAAAAATCATTAAAAAACACTTGTTCTGGTCTGCCCAATAAAAAAGTCCTAATCCAAACAGTCAGCGTTGGGTGCACATTTAGGTCAGTAAGGTGGCAGAGCAGGTTGTCAATATTTACAGTATTAAAAGCAGAGGAAAAGTCCATGAATAAGATCCTGTAATCTTTCAGGTCTTTAGCATGTGTCTTTTTAGGTATTGGAATGATGATGGATTCCTACCACTGCTTGGGGACACAGCCAGAGTCCAGAAGGTGTTGGAACATTCTGGTGAAGACTCCACTTACTGTAGCTGAGTGGAGCATTCTTTGAGCACCCTGCCTCTGAGCATGTCAGGGCCAGAGGCTTTATGTGGGTTAACTCTGCGTAGGATGGTAGTCACCAGCCGTTCATCTATATTGAGAGCTTGGAGATTAGAGCTAGGAGTTGGAGGGGTCCAGGTGCTTAGTGTGCTGCTATCGTTAAAGTGAGTGAAGAAGATTAGTTTCTCTGCTAAAGTGGGATCTGGTACGATAGCTGCAGGTTTGGGTGCTCTGCCCATCATGATATTTAGGCCCTGCCATGCTTCCCTCACGTTTACAGAGCTTCTGCTCCACCTTCCCTATAATAAATTTTTGCTATCTTGGGTTTCCTTTTGAACTCCTTCTCCAATTCCCTCACCCTTAGTTTGTCTCCTTGCAGAAAGGCCTTTCTGGGGGAAAGAAGATGGCGTCGTAGAGTGAACACGTATTTTGGCGTGCTCCCGTGACAATAGTTCTATTATTCGGTTAATATATATTTTCACTCAGCGAAATCGCTTTATGTCGTTAGATGGTTACTGTGTCATGTCTTTAGATCATTATTTTTCAAAAGGATCTGACAGAATGCCCAAAGCTAAGAAGATTGCTCCGAAAAGCTTGACTAGCAGTGGTGCCGAGAAGGATGTGGATATGGAGGAAGCGAGCGCGATAAGTCACGAGGAGGAAAGTTCCAACTCTGACTTTGCTCAAGCTTTGGACAGATTAACCGAGAACATTACGAAGGTAATAGATGAGAAAGTGAATACTGTCCTAGTCGCGATAAACGACCAGACGGTTCAGTTCCAGGCATTGGTTGAGCGAGTGGGCAAGGCAGAGGAACGGATCGCCGGTGTGGAAAACTCATCGGAGTCCTTGCAGGCTACGGTGGCTGTTCTTCAGAGGAAAGTGAGCGAAATGTCAGAGCATATCGACGATCTGGAGAATCGCGGGCGCAGGTGCAATTTGCGTTTAGTCGGGCTGCCAGAGGGAACTGAAGGCAGTGATCCGGTGCGTTTCTTTGAAAAGTGGCTGCCGGATTACTTGAAGATTGCAACGAAAGCAGGACGGATCAAGCTCGATCGTGTTCATCGCGCTTTGGCGCCGTTACCAGGTCCTGCGCAACGACCCAGACCTGTCATCATGAAGTTCCATAACTTTACAGATAAGCAGCGAGTGCTGAACGCAGCTCGACAAAGAGGCACGGATCACGAAGGGAGCGCTAACGCTGGTCCGAGGATTTCATTCTTCAATGATTATTCTGCGATGGTGATAAAGAAACGGAAAGCTTTCGACGATATCAAAAGACGACTGCGGAAGATGAAGATCGAATATGCCCTGCTGTATCCTGCAACTTTGAGGTTTACTGTTAATGGGACAGTGAAGCGTTTTGCTTCACCAGTTGACGTGACTGCCTTCATTGACAGCCT